TGTGTGTGTGTGTGTGTGTGTGTGTGTGTGTGTGTGTGTGTGTGTGTGTGTGTGTGTGTGTGTGACGTTTCGTTGTCTTGTACATGTGTTCGTGTGTGTGTGTTTGTGTGTGTGTGACGTTTGGATGTCTAGTACATATGTGTGTGTGACATTTCGATGTCTAGTACATATGTTTGTGTGCGTGACGTTTCGATGTCTAGTACATGTGTGTGTGTGTGACGTTTCGATGTCTAGTATATGTGTGTGTGGCGTTTCGATGTCTAGTACATATGTGTGTGACGTTTCGATGTCTAGTACATATTCGTGTGTGACATTTCGATGTCTAGTACATATGTGTGTGTATGTGTGACGCTTCGATGTCTAATACATGTGTGTGTGTATGTGTGACGCTTCGATGTCTAATACATATGTGTGTGTGCCGTTTCGATGTCTAGTACATATGTGTGTGTGTGGGACGTTTCGATGTCTAGTACATATGTGTGTGTGTGACGTTTCGATTGATGTGAAGTAGGATGGAGTACAATAACGGAAAGACGCCAAAAGCAGCAACTTATTCAATTTCATAAAATGGTACTTAATATAACTCCTGAATATCTATCCATCCTTATCCCACCCCAAATAGCAGATACCAATAGCATAGTACTCGACAATTAAATAATCTAACATATTATGCAAAGCAAGCGTTTTAACTGAAAATATATGATAATCAACGCATATGTACTTATCTTAATTTATATATTCAGATGTGTTAACAGTGCGAGTGAGCGCAATAGGTATGAAAACCATAGTATGAACAAGTTTCTCACTTTGTTTGTGTTAAGGCGTACCTCACTCCGAGGCGTCATTTCCTACTTGAGTATCACTGCTATTCACATTTTGTTTGTGTTTAGGCGTACCTCACTCCGAGGCGTCATTTCCTACTTGAGTATCACTGCTATTGACATTGTGTTTGTGTTTAGGCGTACCTCACTCCGAGGCGTCATTTCCTACTTGAGTATCACTGCTATTCACATTGTGTTTGTGTTTAGGCGTACCTCACTCCGAGGCGTCATTTCCTACTTGAGTATCACTGCTATTCACATTCATCGATTATTGTTACATTGTTTACATGTCCCCTTTACATGTCTGCCATTCTACGAAATTATTTTATGTATATGCATTAGAAATTAATTATTTCAATATGATTTAATGATTACTATATCTGCTGTCAGTATCGTATAGTATAAGTACTTAGTACTTGTTTCCGAATCGATATTGAAAATATAATGTATTGTATATTACCAGAAATAAATGCAGTTTAAACTAAAAGATTTGAGATTTGTTATTGAAAATATGTCTTCGAGTTGGTTGAAGATCAATGCAATCTTATAACAAGTGTTTTACTGAAATGTTCATGAAATGTTATGCATTGAGATTGGTCTTCGCACTTCAACAGAAAAGAATGGGTAATGTACGAAGACCTTTCCGAAGACGGGCAATTGGGCAAAGACAACCTTGTTTCCGCGGCTTCTGTGTGTGCTGTATGAACAAAAACGCTAAATATCTATCCAGTTAGTAATCTTCAGTTAGTTTTTAAGGATATATTAGAAATAAAGTTGATTTTACCTCGTAGTATGGATAATAACTTACCAGCAACGTATAGACCATTACGATAGCCATCAGACCGACTATGGACATCCACATCGGAATCCCCGCCACTGGAGAACAAAAGAAATCCTGTCAATTATAGTGAACGAATAGTAAAATTGTTTTCGCCATTTAATAATAACACCTGGTATGCTTTGAACTGATACTTTTTGATCGTGATAAATTCGTTCGCTCCCTTGATGGAGAAACTGCTACAAACATTTTCTATATACGGAATTACATGATATTTGATAGTGTGTCGGAGTTACTCTCACATAGAAAGTTTGCAATACGTTGAAGAAGCCATGGATAGGGGTTTTGTTGAGGGGGATTCAAGTTACAGCTGATTGTGAGGTTTACCGTCAACAGCCAACAGTACATGAAGACGGGTTTCAAGGGATCATCGCCGTAAAGAAAGAGTAGAGAAGCGGCAAAAGAATATCAAACCCAAGTGTTGCAATGGGGTTGGCAGATTAGTGTTTTGTTTCTGCTATGTCCTCATTGCAGAAGACACCAAAGACCCGCCCTTCCCTACTCCCACGAATCGACTAGCCCACCAGAACTCCAACCCCGGTTCTGAAGGGACAGAGCAGGCCAATTATTTCCCCGAACCTGCAAGGGGTTTCAAATAGATGGGTCCAACCTTACCTGCTTTGAGCGTGACTGCCGGAACAAATAGCACACTTCCCATGTAGTTGAGCTGTTTACAAAATAGACAATACATTATTGATTACTTAAAGTTTTCCAATGTCGTGCGAGCCTAAATCTAAAACCAATGATGAAAAATGAAATAATGGAGAGCGCGTTATTGTTATATTTATCTATGCAATACAATACAATTACAAGAACTATTTGGATATATTTGAAACCTTGAAATGTTTTACATACCATGGAACATATTCCCAGAACGGTTGCAAACATCCTTATCCCGTGTGATTTGTACCGTAGCTCCAAATACTGAGATAGAATTTGTGTATCCATTAGTACAAACAGATAGGTTATATCACATAATTATGTACTATGTCAAGGTATGACAGTACTTTTGCGCAAATTTGCCGGGCTATTTATAAGTTGTAAAACTTGTGAATAATCCAATAGGATTATGGCAAAACAACCGCATGGTTTCCCCGCGGTTTCTTACACTACATACGGGTTCTTGTGTGACGTTACTGTCGGCTGCATAGAGAACAGTGAAAGGTGATTTTAGCCAGGCAGGTGGTGTGGAGAATGCACCGTACGGGTGAGTGTTGACATTTTAAATTATGATTATATGAGTGCGAATATCATATCGGTCTATAAAGTTAGATATTCTGCTTATACAACTATTCATCACTCTTTTGATGTATTATTACAGGACGGAAGGTTTCTGTGACGATCAAATGTTTTATGTAAAAATGTGATATAATCATATCATATTTTTTTTTATTTAAATATATAAAAATGATGGTTCAAGATGAAAAACTATAAACAGCACAGAAGTCCATTCTGATAGCAAATAGGATAGCACAACAAATACTTTTTTAATCGTTACGTTTCACCAGTTCATGTTTTCACATGATGTTGACTTAGAATGTATGATCATGCAACAACTTTTGTCTATAAATAATTAATTTTCGATTTCAGATAGAACCGGAATACGCATTGAAAACGGGAAAATCATTTGTTTACGTTGTAAAAATGGCGCGTGCTACCGATAACTACGGCTTCTATTTCGGACAAAAGAAACTGATTAAAGCAAAGTTATCTCAACATAAAAAGGGTCCATTTATAAGTATACTTCAATATCTGTAAAGTATTAAAAACATAGTAATCAAGTATCTCAACACGTTCCATATCCGACACATATTATGCATGGTCGGCAGGCGCAGTGGATAGGGCACTTGCCTTTTACCAAGGCGACCAGGGTTCGACTCTCCGATCGGACGTAAAAATTCAATAATCGTTCGCCTCGTTGTGCGCTTCTCTCCGCACAAATGTGCGATTGTGAATAATCCAATAGGATTATGGCAAAAAAAGCGCATGGTTTCCTCGCGGTTTCTTACACTACATACGGGTTCTTGTGTGACGTTACTGTCGGCTGCATAGAGAACAGTGAAAGGTGATTTTAGCCAGGCAGGTGGTGTGGAGAATGCACCGTACGGGTGAGTGTTGACATTTTAAATTATGATTATATGAGTGCGAATATCATATCGGTCTATAAAGTTAGATATTCTGCTTATACAACTATTCATCACTCTTTTGATGTATTATTACAGGACGGAAGGTTTCTGTGACGATCAAATGTTTTATGTAAAAATGTGATATAATCATATCATAAAAAATGATAAAAAGAGAATGCTAGGTTTGTTGATGACAAAGACTAGGAGAGACGGAAAACCGAATGAAATGTTAACATCCTAGATAAAGAGCATCGGTGTACTACTATATTGCTCATATATATATATTGTCTTTTGAAATATTATACATATTGATTACTAAACATGTATCCGATCTATTGTGTATTTTCCCTTACATATAATTAGGAGAAAGCAAGATATCATCAATCCTTCCCGTCTTTAACTAACTAAATGTGTTAAACCTTTAATGTCAGACTAGTGTAAATGGAGATATTGCATGACACTTGTTACGTCAGAATTAAATTAATTACACGTAGTTTTGCTTACCTCATATATGCTGGTGATCTCAAGCTTCTTAAGTGGTGGCACAAATATGTGCAGATTTATTAGGTCAGCAAAGAAGTGTCCCAAATTAGACAGGAACCACTGCATGCCATAGATATACACCTCTGACGGAACTCCCAACATCATGATTCCAGACTCGTATGAAACCATCAACGATATTGCAACCGGAAGTGCAGACATATTTCGACTACCTACTAAGTACTCCGCGGTGGTTCTGCGTTTTCCGCCTTTAAATGATTGGTACAATCCCACACCAAGAGTAGCACCAATGGTTAGCACCAACACAAAGTAATCCTCAGGTTTTAGGAAAGCCATTTTACGACTCTGCTTTGAAATTTCCAAATGATAGGGTCTGTCACCTGAAATAAAAAACACACAATCAGAAAGAAAGCAACAAAATAAATGAAGCTGCTTTAAAACCACGAATTGTTGGCATTGCTATTTGAAGTGCCTTCACAATTTAGTTACCGTTCGCCCACTATTTGCTTTGTTTTGGTTAAAGGGACATCACGGTGAAGTATATTTTTTTTTTGCTTTTTTTGAAATACTGCATGAATATATCAAGTGAGTCTCCTAATGGAAAATAACGATCTTTCGGATTCCTTATTCTGTCTGGTCAGACAGTTTGTCCTGCAGTTGTTCGCGTCACTTCTAATAATGCATGCGCACAACACGCCATTTCAGTGTAAACAACATGACTTGCCGTGGGAAGTGTCAGCGAGTGAAAACCGTTACTACGTCAGCTTCGAAGCGAAAGGTTGCCAAATGGTCAAAAGTTTGTTCAAGGATTACGTTACGGAAGCATTATTACAGGTGGTAAGTATTCAAAGGAAAAAATGACTGCCCTAGCATTTAGTACGGTGCATGCATTCTTCCGGATGGCCGGTATAAAGCTGAAATGGAATCGACAGAAATGCTGTTTATGTTATAAATGAATACTAATAAATTTTAACCTCGCTAGTATCTATGTCAAAGTTGGAACACTAATGAACATATATTATTATGTTAATAGGCATGTATAGGAGAGAGTCTACTTGCGTTTCTATATACATTAGTTTATGCGGTTAGTTTGATTTTGCAATGGAGCCCCCCAAGGGGTGATGTTGTAAAGTACCTCTGTCGGTTGAAAACGGGAAAAGCATTTATTTACGTTGTAAAAATGGCGCGTGTTACCGATAACTACGGCTTCTATTTCGGACAAAGAAACTGATTAATGCAAAGTTATCTCAACATAANAAAGGGCCCCCCCCCCCCCCCCCCCTGCTAACATCCGGGCCAACAAGAGTGATTAATATAAGTAAAAATACCATGTTTCATTATTGTTGTAAAATAAATAAAATGTATATGTACATGTACACGTAGGGGTTTTGTTAGAAATGTTCACTGTGTGTGATGGCTAATATGACTCACTAAGTGTAAAAGTATGAAGACAATGAAAGTGGGAAGAGAGTATAAATGAATATTATTATTTTTGTCTTGGTTAGGAGGGGTCTACGAGCCCATAGACCCCGTCTGGACTTTATAGACCCCGAGCCGAAGGCGAGGGGTCTATACAGACCAAAGGGATCAATGAGCACGCAGACCCACGAAACTACAGGCGGTATCAAAAAGAAACCTCGTTACAAGTATATTTGGTTGGTTTGGTTTTTATTTTTTTAACGTCGTATTAACAGTTTAAGATATGCATCCATGTGTGTTGTGTACACGTGCATGTGTTTATGTTGTTACAGTTGTGGGATCGCACAACGCACCAAAAATAGCGTGCGCACACCGTGCATACACCATGCACACACCGTCCGCACATGGTCCACACATGGCGCGAACAACTGTGCGATTCAACAATCGTTCGCCTCGTTGTGCGCCTCTCTCCGCCTAACTGTGCGATTCAACAATAGTTCGCCTCGTTGTGCACTTCTCTCCGCACAAAAGTGCTATTTGGTAGAATTAGTTGATCAATATAACGAAATGAAAAGAAATCCGGAGCTCTCGTATGGAATAAGGAACACTGTACATAGTAATTGCTTATCGACTGTCAAGATTGGGTTAAGCTCCCAGGTAACAGAACAATCAAGTAACATTTTGATGATCGATCGGAGTTTTTCCTGTCCTGTGCCTTACAAAGAGAGCTTGTATGTGATACCGTATGACCATTATGAAAACATAACTGGACGTTAGGTATTTGTTATTTGCATTCGTTTTGGTCTTTATCCTCCCTTCACACCTGGATGCTCCTGTGGGGAAAACTACGGCCCAGGTACAGGTACAAAATGTTTACCTGTATACGTGACCGTGTCAATAGATGTATGTGTTATTTTACATGTGTCGATTTTCGGTCGTTTAAAAATCACCGAAAACATCATTTTGAATTTAATAAAAAAGAAAATAGATAGAAAGATCAGCTTATATATGTAGATAGAATACAGAAATATACTTAAAAGCAAGTTTATATGTTTAAACACGGGGCCGTATTCATTGATAAGTCATTTCTCAATTAACACCAACCAAGATTGTCATCGCACAACGTTCGTCCATCGTCGGCACAAATGTGCTCAAGCAATAATCGTCCAGATTGCAATCGTTCGCCATCGTGCATACATCGTACACAGGTCGTGCGCTCACCGCACATCGCTTAACGTTGTGCGATTCCACAACTATATAAGTAGAATTAACCATTACTCTTAGTGTCACATTCTTTGTGGCCTATCAGCACATGAGAGGTATTAGGGCACATCAAACGTCGAGAGACCTTTTTAAAAGAAATGACATCAAACAAACGCAAAGGAAAAGAAAAACGTCAAATTGAAAATAGTGGTTACACTTACTTTTTTAAAGAGACCAACAGTTTTCAGGTAGTTTATAATTATAGATATGTACTGCCGAAAAGAAGTAGCATGAAGGTGAGATAATAAATACAGAGATCCAAAGATCTGCATCGGGGGCAAGCAGGATAGATATTGATCCATTTATCGTGGACATCAGATGGTGTCGCAGGACATATGTTATATATTCAAGAAGGATTAACATTATATTCACTGAATAAAACCACTGAATCATACATACCGAAAATTAGTTTGGTTATTAAATCCCAAGCAGTATTCTGTTAAGGTGTGAAGAAAAACTGCATACAGCATGCTACGCAAGGCGTTTAATAATGTACATGATGATGGTCACGTGTGCGTACATCCCTATACAAAACAACAGCTGTTCAGACGTCAGATGCAAGTTAGTATCGCAGATCTATTTACATACTTATAAATGTATATACTTTCTAGCATGGTTTGGTTTGGTTTGGTTTATTAGTGTTTAACGTCCTATCAACAGGTATGGTCATTTAAGGACGGCCTCTCCTGTGTGCAGATATCGTTGTTTTATGCATTAACGATTTCTTTAACACGCTTATCTGCTTTAGGTTTCATCACTAAGTAAGTGGTTGGTGTTGATTAAGCAACAGACAACGCGATTCACATTTGCATTTTGGGCTGAGGGAGAAAACGAACTAAGATGTATTTTAATTTTGATAATTATATTTTGAAATTTTCCTTCTCATTGAAACTCGTAGAATTTTTCTGCACGGAGTTATGACTCTTTATTCAATTGCCGAAACAGTGTATGCTCGATAGCTCTAGTAGTTTTCAACGGATTATCTTCAATAGGAAGGTTCATTATCATGATAGCTCGGACACCATTGTCCAAATGTTACTCCTTGCGATAACTCGGATCTGATGACGACTTAAGGGTGCTGCCCCAATACAATACTATGCCGAGGGCTCTCAGCACAGTACTCAATTCAGTCACATTATAAAATGACACCGAGAACATTGAAGGTACATGTAATATTTGGACGAATGATAATGCAGACATGCAATTAAATGTTGTGTCAAAGTCCGATGCTTCTAAGTTTTGGTTGGTTGTCTTGGGTTTAACGTCCTATCAACAGCTAAGGTCATTTTAGGATATAACTCCACGTGTTTTGTGTATGCGTGTATGTGTGCCGGAGACAGGGTATGTTGGTGCATATGCCTACTTGTGATAGCGCCGATCGTATGCCGGTTAATAGCGCTATCTCACTGAAATAACATGCAGGAACAACCAGCATAGCACTCCTTCTGGTCACATTATACTGCAAACGGGTGAACTAGTTGTTGCCATTACCAAAAATGCTGAACGTTTAACAGGGAACACAACTACCATTATCTAAAGCCTGTTGACAAAACCTATACCCTTCCACACCTGGGTGAAATTTCAAAATCAAAATCAAATATGTAGTGTAGGCAGGCAAGGCATATGGAAAAAAATAATTTAAAAAAAATAGGTACAAGGAAACATACATAATACAAATGTTGCAATGGGTACCGCAGATTTATTTTGGTCGCTTTTGTGACCCAAATAGAGGGTACAAAAGCAGATCCCCAATTCTGCAGGTAAGGCGTAAGAATCGTACCTGTTGCCATTGCATGATCGTAAGAGGCGACTAAATTTGGGATCTCATCTTTTCTTTCTAAACAACTTTCTTTCTTCCTAATGTCTCCCTTGGCAATGCCTCACTTTTGGCCTTTAGTTGAGCATTCGCCCCTGTGAGGAAGGCTTTGGGTTCTATCCCCTGGCAGAGACATACCAGAGTCTGCAAAAATGGTAGTTTATACTTCTGCTTAACGCTCAGAAATTTAGGAGTGGGACGACTGGTACGCCCGTTTTCAGTATAATGTGACCAGGTGGGGTGTCCTGCAGGGTGTCTTCGACAGTATGTTTCAGTGAGGTAGCACTATAAAGTCGGCATCAGTTTCGCGCTATCACAAGGAGACAATCACTAACATATCGCAGCCTCCCAAAATACACACACATACACTACACGCATGCATCTTTGCACACAGGGGAGGCCGTCCTTAAATGACCATAGCTGTTGATAGGTCGTTAAACAATACTAAACTAAACTATTATTTTCTCGATTCTCGGCCAGCAGAGGTTGGAACTAGGAGAATGATATATACAAATTGAGGGACTGACCACCGGGGTCTGAGGGGCGGTACCAAACACTTAATACATATGCTGCACTCATATCAACATTTGGAATCTTAGAATTCTATAAGTACTGTATAGTTATTCATACTGGATTTTGAAAATATTTTTTTCTTGCAGGTTCGCTTTACAATTGTCTCTCACTGTTCTTGGTAATACTAAATTATTTTCTGAGCCATAATCTATCTTTTAATCTGATAAATAATTTCTTGCTATTAACGGATTTTAGTTTACTTATGTAATTGTTTCTGTTCTTTTGCATCATTCGATTTGCGCTTATCAATTTATAAACTTTATCAGAATTTCCGACGGGCGAATGTTGCTAAAAGCTATGAACTTTTCAGTACTCTCACTTAAATATCACGTTAATTCTTGGCGCGTGATACTGCTCGGTGCGGTTTATGACATCGTGCCGGTGGCCAATTTCAATCGAGGCTAAGTCATAAAAACGTTTTGATATAAAAGTGTTTGCATATACATATATTCACAAAGGCATATCTTATAATGACAGATGCATATGATATAATCATATCTTTTATACAATATGTTATGGATATAAGCCGAAAACTGTATAATAAGTGAGAAAGAACAGGTGGCGAGGCTCGTTAGGGCCTAGACCTGGACTCATATGCATAAAGATTATAGTATATGCTTCAGTACACTTTTAACCTGCTTAATTAAGCAAGTTGTTTACTTTCCGTTCCATAAGAATTCTAAGCATCATGCTTAGTTGTTCTTTGTAAGACAGATCGCAATTAACTTTCTTAAAATGCTCGTTGTCAATGACGCGTGATACTAATTACCGCGAAGTTGTGTTTGCGAACAAAAGCACGTGGGAAAGATCGTGTTCGATCGTCTGCTTCCAGTCGCTGTTAACATTGCCTCAGGGACGCCAAGCAAGAAAAGGAAACCAAACTGGACGGCAGGCCTGTATGTAACAAAATTGGTGATTGGTCCATGTTTGGAGCTGGGGTGGCGACCAAGGAGAAGCGGGAGACGTGGAGGCAGATTGCCAACGCCATCAATGCTTCCTCCACAATCAGCCGGTCGGTAGAAAAAGTTGAAATGAAATGGCACAATCTCCAAATGAAGGGGAATTCAGCTGTCAGACCACAGGTAATTGATGACAGGTAATTAATTATATTAGCCATGCAGTCATTTGTAAACACTGAACAATAACAAGTCTACTGTAACTCGTGTTCGTTAACTTTAGAACACTTCTACTCAGTCATTTCACATTTCTTTAAGGTACTGATCTGCAGTATTCCGTACGTTAAGGTAGCATACACACACCTGTACAAAATCAAACATAGTTTGTCAACGTCTGCCTTATAAATAGCCCTTGATCATGTGACAAATGGTCATGTGTCATCAATCCGTACAACATGGCGGCGTTGCGCCACATCAGATGACTTCGCCAGAATAACACCTTATTTGTCATATGTATGTTTGTAAGGGGCGTAAGCAACGACAACTTTGGGTAGAGTGTATATGTAATCGGTAAATACGGTGTTGCATGAACATTAGCACAGACTTCTATCAATTCTACATCACCTCCCCTCTTCCCCTCCCCTCATTCACCCCCTTACACGAACACATGTATGCACTGTCAACTATTTTGTATGATTTGCTGTTAACGAGACCATTCTTTCTGTATTTACTTAAGTATCAATTAATAATATTTGATTTGTATTTTGACTACACTGTACATTTTTGTAACTCTTCAATTTGGAGGAAATAAAGAAATAATAATGAGCACTGTGTTTGCAGTGTCATTAAGCCATCACATAAATTACGTAACGTGTGTAATATCACCCCGGAAATGACGTCACATTCGAAATGAAACAATCAATGTGACGTCATGTCACTGTGAAGCGGACGCAAATTTCATCGTTTCAGAGGCGGCCAAGTGCAAAATATTCGTTTCATATCACAATTATACAGTTTACTTTGTATTAAATGATAACAAATTTGTCGTTCGTTTCCCTTCATATAAGAGGCTCACAAACATGAAAAATCCAAAACTTGTATAATAAATCTAAAATGAAGGGTGACTTATGACAGACCCTCTCTCTCTCTATATATATATTTAAGGAATGACCATGATTTTGTTTTGGTATATACGGTATATTCCGTATATACCATAACAAAATATTGGGCATTCTTTATAGTTTAATTTAAAAAACGTAGACAAACATGTTGTAAATGCACAGTTAAAGATTTATTTAATTTTTACGTAAACTAAACAATTGCGCAAAAAAAAAAGCTGCGTTGTAATCTTGCATTCTGAAGTGTAAAAAGTAGTTCCGTCATCAGTTTTTTTTCGTTTTAGGTCTATACGATATATACCAAAAGTAATATTATGGGGGAGATAGGCAAAATTAAATTATATATCGCTATCTTCATTGATGTTCTTATCACACTGCTAATTTCAGATAATTCATTGGTAAAAATGTAATAATGCTTTGATTGTTTTGTTCTATTTTATGTTGATAATTCATCTTTACTTATGAATTGGGATAGAAACATATACAGATGTTTCCAAATATTACAATGCACATGTCTGTATCTGAATTACTTAAAAATATACATGTAATTGAAAAAAAATCAAATTGTAGGAGTACTTGTATTTTAAATTAATGATATTGTCACGATCACATGTAATTATTATATGTTATATCATGTGTTGTGGTGTTATTGGTTATGTTTAATATTGTATGTGTAACACGTGGGTGCTAAGCTCAGGTAAGTACACTAGAGAACGGAAGTGCACGTGCCGGGGGTGAGGATTCGTCACACAGGTAACATACGCGAGACGTGTACATGTTGTAATGGCGATGTGCTAAACATTACCTGTGTCAGACACATTCCATGGATTCAGGCACAGAATACAGACTGTGGTGAGTAATTGATATAATACTCTTACTCTTACTTCACTAATTTGTATCTTGGAGTGTCTCTGATCCCCGTAAATGCATTTCTAGTGTATACCTTGACGTGCGGTCCACTCATGCGTAGCGATAGGGCAGGTGTAGTATAGGTGTATATGGATTGTTTACATCATGCTAATATGTTTGTATTTCGATGTTTATATTGATATAGTTATATCAGAATGTAATGTATAATGCATATTGTTTATAATAGTCTGATACAATATGTACGATGAGTTTAATTGTCCATATAAATGTCATTCTGACCAGTCAGTATTGTCCATGTGAAAAAGTACGGCAGCCTTGAGTCGCCATATTTGAATTGAATATTTAATCATGTTTTATGATATAAATGGACCGACACGTTGTAGAACTGTTAATATAGATGAATATTGTGTAGAATATATATATATATAATATGTGTCAGGACTATTTATTGCATTGGGCTAATTTTCAAGTAGGATGTTATTGTATGAACGTTGTATGAAGAGAAGGTGGGAAAATATATTGTATCTATTTTATTTATATTAAAGCTTTCCATGACGGATTGATATTCCTGCACCTATCAGGACCCTGTCTGCATAGACGACTTGGGCTTCAGGACCAATTTTGATATGAGGTTAGCCACAGGAGGGATTTTGTGGACTGTACGGAAGGGTCAGGGTGCCAGAAACGTTAATCAGTGTGTCGACCGACAGGAACAACCAGCTCTGAGTGGGGACTAGCGGACTAGTCAAGTCACATGTTGGTGCCCTGACAACTGGGACAACGCTATTAAAGTCTAGTTACCTGCGGGTAACTTACGGAAACACTGTGTGTTTACCTACGTCGTGGCAGACGTAGCTTCTCGGGACCTGAACTGTGCTGCGGTACAGAACTGTTCCGGGTGATCTGTGCTGCGGTACAGTAGTGTTGTGGGTGATCTGTTCGGGTAGAACAGATGGTGTGCTGTCGACCAGACGTTGATTTATGGAACATTGTTTTTGAGGACACTTTACTTTAGAAGACTGTGGTCCTGATGAACTGTACTATTATGATTAGAGGGTGCATGGGTTGAGAGTGAGTGTGATAGTGAGTACTAGTGAATTTGCATTTAATAAATTGTATATATTTTCATGATCTTTCTTTGTGTTGCTCTTTACATCCAAATTCCTTAAACCGGCGCTTGTCCGACGTTACAAATGGTGGCAGCGGTGGGATAGCCGACGTTACGGTATTTGGATTTAAAAGCACAATTATTACACTAATTGAGTAACGTATAAATATGTTTTTGTTATGATTATGCTAGATAGGCATTTCCTGGGGGGGACATTCTACCTATTTTCTACTGTATTCTGTTAATGTTAGGTAGCCAAACACCTTTGACTTGACAGGAGGAGATAACTGCAAGGTAAGTTAACTGTCGATCCAGTAATATTTGACCAGCGGTCCAGATGCACTGTGATGCTAGAGGGAAGTTGGGGTAAGTACTATCTGTTGTTGTTGTTGTTGTTTTGTCTTCGTTGTATTTGTGGCATTGTTTTATCCTGTAATGTAAATATGACGACACTTAACGAGATAATCGCGGCTGGGAAGGAGCTTGGTTACACGGGAGATGAGCTACGGCAGTTTTTGAAGGAAACACAGGACCGAGCTAGAGATGAGCGGGAGATGGAGAGGAAGATGAGGAAGGCTGAGGTGGAAGCTGACCAAGCAGAAAGAGACAAGGAGAGGTTGCTGAAGGTGGAGACAGAGAAGAAAGCCATGATGATTGAGCAAGCTAAAATAGAAGCTGAACGAGAAGCCAGAGCGGATGAAAGAGCAGAGATGGAACATAAGCGGAAGCTGGAACTACACCAGGCAGGCATTTTAGATGTTACCAGTGACACCTCTAGAGTCTCAATGAATACACCGAGGGGTCCGAAACTGCCAGCCTTTGACGAGGGTAAAGATAGTATGGACGCATATATTCAGCGCTTTGAAGTGTATGCCACAGCTCAGAGATGGAACAGGGACCAATGGGGAACCAACTTAAGTGCCTTATTGAAAGGAAAAGCATTGGAAGTGTTTTCCCGGTTACCTGTGTCACAAGCTTTGAACTTTGACTACTTGAAGAAGGCCTTATTGCTACGGTTTGAGAAGACTGAGACTGGGTTCCGGAAGAGTTTCCGAAGTACTAGACCGGAAGGAGGTGAGACCTTTGCTCAATTTGTTATTCGGCTTGAGAGTTATCTGGAGAGATGGACGGAAATGGCTGGGGCTGAGAAAACGTATGAAGGCCTAAAGGATATTATGATGAAAGACCAGTTTATTTGTGGATGTAGTCAGGACTTGTCGTTATTTCTGAAGGAGAGATCCCCTGCGTCTGTTAAAGATATGGCGAAAATTGCTGATCAGTATGCGGAGGCCAGAGGGGCAACAGCTCAGTCCTTATCGTCAAAGACAGCAAAGGTTGGTGGTAGTAAATCAGCTGGAAGTAGTATGACCGAGTCAACGCCAGGGAAGAAATCCTTCGGATCTACAACCGACAAGCGATGCTATTCTTGTGGGAAACTGGGCCATCTTTCTTTTGAATGCCGGAGCAAAAAATCCTCAAATAAAGTGGCGACAATTATTTAGGGCAACAAAGCAGAAGGCAAGCAGCAGCATCCCAGAGATAGCAAGAGGAAAGGTGTCGAAAGGAAAAAGAAAGATAAAGAAGAACAGAGAAGAGTGAAGGATAATCCCAGACTTAGTGTTTCATGTAATATGAGGATTCCAGATTCACCAGAGATGCCAGTAATGACAGGACGTATTGGGGTACGACTAGTTACGGTATTGAGGGACACCGGCTGCAGTGGCGTCGTAGTGAGGCGAAGTTTAGTGGATCCTAAACAGATGACGAAGCGGATAAAGACTTGTACTCTAGCAGATGGTTCGAAGTTGGAAGTACCAATTGCGCAGTTAGAGGTTGATACACCGTATTTGCGAGGCACTACTGAAGCTTGGGTACTCGACACACCGTTGTATGACCTGATAGTTGGTAACGTTGCGGGAGCTCAACCACCTGATCAACCTGATGAGANTGGTAAGGAAAAAGGACGGTTCCAACAGGTTCTGTATTGATTTTCGTGCACTCAATCGTGTGACTATATTTGACGCGGAACCAATGCCCAACACTGAGGACATCTTTGCGCGACTAGGAAGTGCCAGATACTTCTCAAAGTTAGACCTTAGTAAAGGTTATTGGCAAGTTCCATTGGCAGCTACAGCAAAGGAGATGACCGCTTTTACAACCCCAAAAGGGTTGTACCAATTTAGGGTGATGCCATTTGGACTAGTCAATGCGACGGCAACATCCAGTCGCCTTATGAGAAAACTGCTTCATGGAATGGAACATCTGGATAACTTCATTGATGACATCGTTATCTACAACGTTACATGGGTAGAACACATGGAAGTTCTAGGTGAGCTATTTTCTCGATTGAGGAACGCTGGACTAACTGCGAGACCGAACAAGTGTTCGATAGGCTTTGGAAGTCTGTCGTGTCTGGGACATATTGTGGGAGCAAGGAGACTTCAACTGGAAGAAGACAAAGTGGACGCGATAGCTAACGCACCGAGGCCAGAAACCAAGACGCAAGTAAGATCATTTCTGGGTTTGGCTGGCTTTTATGGTCGTTTCATCCCTAACTTTGCCGCAATTGCAGTTCCGCTTACAGACCTGACCAAGAAGGGTACACCGCATAAAGTGGTATGGCAGGAAAACCATGAACGGGCTTACAATACGTTGAAGAGGCTACTTACAGCGAAACCAGTACTGAAGCTTCCGGATCTGGAACAGGATTTCATCCTGCGAACAGATGCATCCGACACCGGACTTGGTGCGGTGCTGTTGCAACAAGAAGAGGGCCAGAAGATGCCAATCGCATATGCCAGTCGAAAACTTCTTCCTCGTGAGAAGAACTATGCGGTTATAGAAAAAGAATGCCTGGCGATAGTATGGGGAATACAGAAATTTGAGGCGTACATTTACGGAAAGGAATTTCTCCTCGAGACTGATCACCAGCCACTGACCTACTTGGGCAAGGCAAAGACAGCGAACGCACGACTGATGCGATGGGCGCTATTATTGCAGCCTTTCCGATACAAAATTCGCGCCATCAAGGGATCAGACAACGTGGGAGCCGATTATTTGAGCAGAATATAGGGATTACATGCTCAGTGATGATGTAGAAAAAGTGTAACCACTTTTTTTCGGAACCCGGGGAAAATGTCACGATCGCATGTAATTATTATATGTTATATCATGTGTTGTGGTGTTATTGGTTATGTTTAATATTGTATGTGTAACACGTGGGTGCTAAGCTCAGGTAAGTACACTAGAGAACGGAAGTGCACGTGCCGGGGGTGAGGATTCGTCACACAGGTAACATACGCGAGACGTGTACATGTTGTAATGGCGATGTGCTAAACATTACCTGTGTCAGACACATTCCATGGATTCAGGCACAGAATACAGACTGTGGTGAGTAATTGATATAATACTCTTACTCTTACTTCACTAATTTGTATCTTGGAGTGTCTCTGATCCCCGTAAATGCATTTCTAGTGTATACCTTGACGTGCGGTCCACTCATGCGTAGCGATAGGGCAGGTGTAGTATAGGTGTATATGGATTGTTTACATCATGCTAATATGTTTGTATTTCGATGTTTATATTGATATAGTTATATCAGAATGTAATGTATAATGCATATTGTTTATAATAGTCTGATACAATATGTACGATGAGTTTAATTGTCCATATAAATGTCATTCTGACCAGTCAGTATTGTCCATGTGAAAAAGTACGGCAGCCTTGAGTCGCCATATTTGAATTGAATATTTAATCATGTTTTATGATATAAATGGACCGACACGTTGTAGAACTGTTAATATAGATGAATATTGTGTAGAATATATATATATATAATATGTGTCAGGACTATTTATTGCATTGGGCTAATTTTCAAGTAGGATGTTATTGTATGAACGTTGTATGAAGAGAAGGTGGGAAAATATATTGTATCTATTTTATTTGTTAAAGCTTTCCATGACGGATTGATATTCCTGCACCTATCAGGACCCTGTCTGCATAGACGACTTGGGCTTCAGGACCAATGTTGATATGAGGTCAGCCACAGGAGGGATTTTGTGGACTGTACGGAAGGGTCAGGGTGCCAGAAACGTTAATCATTGTGTCGACCGACAGGAGCAACCAGCTCTGAGTGGGGACTAGCGGACTAGTCAAGTCACATGTTGGTGTCCTGACAACTGGGACAACGCTATTAAAGTCTAGTTACCTGCGGGTAATTTACGGAAACACTGTGTGTTTACCTACGTCGTAGCAGACGTAGCTTCTCGGGACCTGAACTGTGCTGCGGTACAGAATTGTTTCGGGTGATCTGTGCTGCGGTACAGTATTGTTGTGGGTGATCTGTTCGGGTAGAACAGATGGTGTGCTGTCGACCAGACGTTGATTTATGGAACATTGTTTTTGAGGACACTTTACTTTAGAAGACTGTGTTCCTGATGAACTGTACTATTATGATTAGAGGGTGCATGGGTTGAGAGTGAGTGTGATAGTGAGTACTAGTGAATTTGCATTTAATAAATTGTATATATTTTCATGATCTTTCTTTGTGTTGCTCTTTACATCCAAATTCCTTAAACCGGCGCTTGTCCGACGTTACAGATATTGTATTTCACTCACTACAGAGAAAACAGGGTTGGCATCAATGTCAGTTTGACATATATGTCTAATTATAATTATTTATTTTCCAATGTGTTTTTTTTTTTATACATGTTATACATGAAACAAGGATGTACAGTACATACATATTAACACTCATACATACAGTCTATCAACTTCATCATCAGCATCATTAACTGACATATGAATTCAATAAAAAGTATATGTATTCAATTTCAGTTTCAATTTCAACTTTTTGTACATGTATCTAGACTAATGAAGCAAACCTTTTATACATATACAGTGTATTAATTATGTGTACTGATGATAGATGAGTTACTTCATATATTTCAGATTGAATATTTATCTTATGTCAAAATTTCTGTATTTTTGCGCTTTATAATAATATTTATTGCTTGTAGATCATCAGATCTGGACATTCCGCAGACCTCCGCCATTGGCTCCTGTGTAACTAGCACAACTGCAGCCTTGCCACCTCTTTATTCATCCATCTGTAGTGGTACCACATATCCAGATGAAAAAGCCATGAGGCAGGAGAAGCTGGCGCTGGAAAGTTGCAAAACAAACTTCTTAAGTTAAAGATCAAGAAGTTGAGTCAACTTGATTGATTCTTTTCCTGGCTATTTTTAACTTTGAATGAATATATGTATAGAAGTAAGTACTTCATCAGAAGTGAGTTGACACCGTGTGGTTTCTGTATGCCATACCGTCAACTGGGTCCTCAAAGACTGCATGTGTAGTATATATCATTAACATCATCATAATCACCATCAATATCATTATCTAGCTGTGGCATATTTAACAGCTTTGCAATGTTTTGAAGAATTCCGCGGGCAGTAATGACTTTGCCAACTCTATCTGGTCTCAGCCTGACCTCTCTACGTAGGATATGCTATGATCTTTCCAACTGCCCAATTCCTCTTTCAACAATACATCTGTTTGTCTTGTGAGCACTTAGAAAAAAAGATAGAAAAACATTTGACATAATGAATGTGACCTACAAATAGTGACCACTATAGACAGGTAGCTGTGCTACATAAAATTTAGAAATATTGCCATTAAAATATTTCCCTCAAGTTGAACATCATCATACCATATATATAGAAAGAAAATAGGTGCATTCAGCTTCAATTCATCATGTAAGGGCATGAAATGATCCTAATACATATGTGGGATGATCACCTTTATCTTATTTTAGATTTACAAACTTCTGAGATAAATTACAAAAAAATACAGCATAATTTTACCATATTGTTGTTATATAATGCCTTGAAACTTATTCTCAGATGATATCACTGCTCAGCATATAGGTGTACATTACATGTAGTAGGTATCAATGCCCCCCCCCCCCCCCCCCCCCCCTGTTTTTCTTAAATAACTTCCAATTAAATCTATATAGCTTCAATAAACTACGTTTAAGTAATTCAGTCGCTATTTTATCCATCTTTTCTGTTTTAATTTCTTAATAATGCAATTATCTTTGAGAGAAAAAATAGTCCAAATATATTTGGTTTAACATATATTGCTAACAATTATCTGCGAGGAAATATATGATAAAACATGTATTGCTTTGTTTTTCTTATTATCTATTTACATGTACTATTGTAATTTAAATGTATTGTCGATAAAATATTTTGAATTAGAATATGAAATTCTAACGTGCTATATATAGGGTCTACATATAAACTGTGCCAAAGGTCATGAACGTTAATACATGTGTATTAAACCTGATGCTGGTAAACGGGAAATACATACCCACACATAGTCACGTGGATTAATGTTGATTTCTATAAAACAAATATCGTAAGCTGGATACTAGGAGAAAAAAAGTTTTTTCTTTCTACAATTTCCCCATTTGCATCCCGTACGATCTTACAATTAGATTTAGTCCCCTTTATCGAAAAAAACCCACAACCGCTGGCCGAAAAACATAATTACTTCTGTCAGAAAAATATACAGAATAGGGGAAATTTACCTGTTGTACAGAGCCTGTCAATAGCCAGTTTTTACAGAGACAACCGCTGTCGCCAAGTAAAAGACATTTCACTGGTACCATTCTCGTTACAAAAATTCGGGCTAGGCCACTTTCACGAAGGATCCTTTCGTCATGTGATGACCCTGGCCATCTTGCAACTAGTTCCAGAATCCAATAACTTGCATCTTCAACTATCTGAACATTGATGGAGTGGAAATATTTCCTATTTACAAACTCGGGTTCGTAAATACTGGGACGTAAAATGCGGATGTGTGTACCGTCAATTGCTCCAACAACTGCAGGGAACCTAGAAAGTGCATACAAATCTGATTGATGTTTTCTGATCACATCAGCAGTAAGAGGAAAAGAAATAAATCTTTTGACATTGTTAGGACTGTTCAATGCATTATCATATGAATACAGGGTTATGCAGTGTCATAACGCCATCACATAAATTATGTTTATGTAACGTGTGCAATAGCAGTCCGGAAATGACGTCACAATCGAAAAGGAACAATCAACATTAAAATCAGCACCACAACATAGATGCATTTTCCCCGTAGCATAATATCGAAGTGCAATCATAACTTGCATATGTTGAGGTAAACTGTGATTTTACCCTGTTGCCGGTGAAATATCTTTCACCATATTGGTAATTAAAAGAATACTTTCCCTATCAAACTTGAAACGCTGGTAAAATTCTAAAGCATTGGATCAAACCGGTCTCGAGAATGTCTTTCCCGTCTTAATGCCCTTACAAACTGTTGAGGTGCATTATGTTGTCCAATAGCGGCAACCATTTTGCAAAGATAAGCAAGGAAAATAAGGGGCCAATTTTTACAATGAAAGCAACATTTTTCAGCCCTTTCTGAAAAGGGGGAAATAACACAAGAATTAGACTGTTGAATTTTGATTGTGTTGAATACAAAGGATATATACACCGCCGGTACAGTACTCTAGCTTTTGAATTGTACGGCGTAACTGTTGAATTTTGAATGTGTTGTAGTACTTTAGCTATCACATTTTGAATGTGTTGTAGTACTTTAGCTATCACATTTTGAATGTGTTGTAGTACTTTAGCTATCACATTTTGAATGTGTTCAATTCCACGGATATATACACCGCCGGGACTCTAGCTGTTGATTTTGAATGTGTTAGATTTGAAGGATAGTACACCACTGGTATTCAATATATTGGTTTAATATTATACTAACAAAATCAAAGTGTTTGTTATTTTGTTTTACCATTATTGCTGAATTACTCCTATTGAGTTCCGCCCATTTCTTCTCTAGATCTCGTAACTGTCCACTAAATAATCTATTGTCACTTATAAGACGGTGATGTCAACTTATTGCACAGCCATAAGTGATACACTGTACCTCAACACTCTACTGGATATAATACACAAAAAAAACACAATGAAAGACATCACAAATATAATTATCAACTGTCTGATGCTGAAGAACGTTTATATTCGGTGGTGAACATCAGATAATGAAAACATCAGTTATAAAATATTTTGGCTTCCCAGGTTATAGCCTTGTCCATTAGGAATATTTGTAACATTAAATGATACATCACAATAGTCCATGTTGGTTGTTAATAGGACATTTAACCATATAAAGCCAAATAAAATCCAAACAGCCAGTTGGACTTTATAAGTGTCTGTTCATGATATTAATATACGGAGGTGACTGTCCTTTATATTGATATACGGCGGTGGCTGTCTTTTATATTAATATACTGAAGTGGCTGTACTTTATATCAATATACGGAGGTGGCTGTCCTTTATATAAATATACGGAGATGGATGTCATTTATATTAATATACTGAAGTGGCTGTACTTTATATCAATATACGGAGGTGGCTGTCCTTTATATTGATATACGGAGGTGGCTGTCCTTTACATTAATATACGGAGGTGGCTGTTCTTTATATTAATATACTGAGGTGGCTGTCCTTAATATTAATATACGGAGGTGGCTGTCCTTTATATTAATATACGGAGGTGGCTGTCCTTTATATTAATATACTGAAGTGGCTGTACTTTATATCAATATACGGAGGTTGCTGTCCTTTATATTGATATACGGAGGTGGCTGTCCTTTATATTAATATACTGAAGTGGCTGTCCTTTATATTAATATACTGAGGGGGGTGTCCTTTATATTAATATACGGAGGTGGTTGTACTTTATATTAATATACTGAGGTGGCTGTCCTTTATATTAGTATACTGAGGTGGCTGTCCTTTATATTAATATACGGAGGTGGCTGTACTTTATATTAATATACTGAGGTGGCTGTATTTTATATTAATATACTGAGGTGGCTATCCTTTATATTAATATACTGAGGTGACTGTCCTTTATATTAATATACGGAGGTGGATGTCCTTTATATTAATATACGGAGGTGGATGTCCTTTATATTAATATACGGAGGTTGCTGTCCTTTATATTAATATACGGAGGTGGATGTCCTTTATATTAATATACGGAGGTGGATGTCCTTTATATTAATATACGGAGGCGGCTGTCCTTTATATTAATATACTGAAGTTGCTGTCCTTTATATTAATATACTGAAGTGGCTGTCATTTATATTAATATACTGAGGTGGCTATCCTTTATATTAATATACTGAGGTGACTGTCCTTTATATTAATATACTGAGGGGGTTGTCCTTTATATTAATATACTGAGGTGGCTATCCTTTATATTAATATACTGAGGTGACTGTTCTTTATATTAATATACGGAGGTGGCTGTACTTTCTATTAATATACTGAGGTGGCTGTATTTTATACTAATATACTGAGGTGGCTGTCCTTTATCTTAATATACAAAAATGTACGGCGGTGGCTGTCCTTTATATTAATATACAGAGGTGACTGTCCTTTATATTAATATACGGAGGTGGATGTCCTTTATATTAATATACGGAGGTTGCTGTCCTTTATATTAATATACTGAGGGGGCTGTCCTTTATATTAATGTACTGTGGTGGCTGCCCTTTATATTAATATACTGAGGTGGCTGTCTTTTATATTAATATACTGAGGTGGCTATCCTTTATATTAGTATACTGAGGTGGCTGTCCTTTCTATTAATATACGGAGGTGGCTGTACTTTATATTAATATGCTGAGGCGGCTGTCCTTTATATTAATATACGGAGGTGGATGTCCTTTATATTAATATACGGAGGTGGCTGTACTTTATATTAATATACTGAAGTGGCTGTCATTTATATTAATATACTGAGGTGGCTGTCTTTTATATTAATATACTGAGGTGGCTGTCTTTTATATTAATATACTGAGGTGGCTGTCCTTCATATTAATATACTGAAGTGGCTGTCATTTATATTAATATACTGAGGTGGCTATCCTTTATATTAATATACTGAGGTGACTGTCCTTTATATTAATATACGGAGGCGGCTGTACTTTATATTAATATACTGAGGTGGCAGTCCTTTATATTAATATACTGAGGTGACTGTTCTTTATATTAATATACGGAGGTGGCTGTACTTTATATTAATATGCTGAGGCGGCTGTCCTTTATATTAATATGCTGAGGTGGCTGTTCTTTATATTA